GTGTGTGTGTGTGTGTGTGTGTGTGTGTGTGAGAGAGATTTATCTCTTAAACACAGATGAGCACCTCCTGGACATTGGTCATCTCGACTCTCTGTTCATCCAGCCGGGTCTGCAGATCCATATTCTGGTTGAGAAGATCCAGACCAGCGCGAGCAGCCTGCTGGAGCTGCTCCTCCTTCTCCCTCAGCTGGCTCCTCAGCAGAGACACCTCCTCCTCCGCTGCCATCTGACAGGAGACAGGAGACATTTAACCTCCAGAAAGACCCGAGAGCTGAAGCCGTCCCACAACTCTCAGCTCTAATCCACCACGCTGGATTAAGACCCTCAGTTATGGGCTGCTGTTTGTAAAGTTACACAGTCAAAAATTACCACCAATATTTTTGTTTTATTTAGACTTTTATAAGAAAAAAAAGAACAGATTTATTTTTCAAAGTCAGTTTTTCACCATATGATTCATACATTTATAAATGCCATAGTTTATAAACAAATATTTAACTTACAAATTAAATATTTAGTTAACAAGATAAATATTTAAGTTGCAACTTAAATATTTAGATATCTATCTAAATATTTAACTTAAATATTTAGAATTAAAAATTTAAGGTGATCATAATGGTGATTGTGATCTTGGAGACATTGGTGATCTTGGTGAAAAAGTGATTTGGTGATCAAGGAGCACCAGATGAAAATAAAAAGGCGTAAAATCACCCGTCGAGGCTGCGCTGAACTTTGTCAATAACTGGGGGGGCTGCTACAGTTATTAATGTCTAATGTTTATTTTCTGAAGGTTTCATTAAAATCTGGCCAGTAGAGCATGAAACACATAAAAAAAAACACATTTTCTTCCACAAGTTGGAGGAAATAAAAATATTCCTTAAAAACATCAGGAAACAGCATGACACAAACCGAAAAACCACAAATTTTAATTCTCAGTTTATGTTGGATTCATAAAAACAATTCAAAACTTTAAACTCTAGAAGAAGAAGTGCTTCTTTTTGATGTTTAAATATTCTTTGTTCCTCATCAGAAATAATAAAGCACAAATTAGTTGCATTGGTTGCATTTGTTAGAAAAATATCTCCTGAAGCAGAGAATGGATTTTAAAAGGATCCACGATCAGTTGTAACATTAGACTTTATTTAATAAACATATATTTTAACTGTAAAATTAAGACTGTAAAAATACTGTAGGATGTTTAGTTTTTATAATTTTTCAACTAAAAGTTTAAAACTATATTATACAGAGGGGTTCATTTTATTTACACACAAAGCATTCTGGGTAAATGTCGTGGATAGGTCATCGGTGTGAGGCTGCTAGCGAGCTATATCCATCCTGAAGGTTAATCTTGGACAATATCTGACAAGTGTCTCTTAAATGAAACCAGAGAGCGTTGACAGAGAGGAGAAGGTAGAAATGAGTCAGCCTGTAACTGAAAATACTGTATGGATGAGGACTTCAGTTTAGCTTGTTTGTCACGCTAGCGCTGAGCTACTACATATAAGGCAATATAGCGTCAGCGCTAGCACGAAGGCTAACAG